ATTTACTACATGGGTCTTAGCCAGAATGATACCCCTCAAGCCCAAGTAGTACTACCTGTTTACAGGGAGAAGGTGAGTACAAATATCCTTTTATTGTAATCTTTATGTAAATTGTTAGATAGTCACTAGAATAAATATTTATGATATATAATAACTCAATATTTGTTTTCCTTTTAAGGTGTGTGTGGTCTTGTGAAAAGCAGCGGGTTTTTGTTAAAGCAGTTAGATAGTGAAATGGAAAGATCTTACTTGCTTTCTCGAAGCCTCCTGGATCTATCGATGGGCCACAGGCAGCACTGCGATATTCCAAATAAATGCCAGAAAGCAGCTACTAAGCAGTTGTATTAAGCCTAGAAGAACCTTGCCATGCGGGTGATATCAATGGAAGGGATAGTAATAATAATATGCTTATATAAGTACTATAATTACTGGAAGTATTGTAATTACTATAAGAATTATATGTATTACACGTATTATACGTATTAGGCCTAAAAGCAGAAATAAGCAAGATATAGAGATGCATACAAATTTTAATTGTGTCTGGGTGACTTACCGAATAAGGTAGGGCCTTTTTTTTTTTTATTAAGTATCGCCAATCCACTTTGTGTGTAATAAAAAATCGTCCTGATTTTTAAAAGCAATACTTATTTAAATGATTTTGATGTAATTCTTTTTCAGGGGTGGTAGAAAATCCGAAATATTCGTTTTAAATTAAATTAGACCACATGGCCCAGAAACCAACCTCCAAAAGAAAAAGACAGAGAACCCAGAGAGAGATAAAACCTCAGATACCAATAAAATAGATGTATCTGATTAAGATGACTAAACTGCCAATAAATAGGTTAATTATTGACCTAATTAATTAAGTTACACCTTAATAAAGAAGAGAAGAACTATTACAAGGTCATGGTCAAGATTTGACATTAGCATGTAAATAAACAATATACATATGTATAGGTTAATTTTAATAAATGGAAAAAGAACTATAAATCTTGTTGATTATTATTTACAAATTTAGGTGAGTTTTTATTTATTTAATATTCAGTAAACCCCTATAATTATTTCAGTTAATTATCTGTAAGAATAATTTCTGACCCGTAACAACGAGTTCAGACTGTACGGGAGGTCCCTGTTTCCAGCATTCTCGGTCTGTTATTTGAATTTGAAAATTTCTTTCAAATTTGTATGTGGTCATGGCTCTATCAGTAGGCATAGCTAGAATGTTATCCCTTCTTACTTGCTGGTATAGCCTTGTGTGATTGGCGCTGTGTAGTTGGCTTATTGGGTTTTGTCCCTGCGTTAGCCTGTGAATAGCTGACCTGGTTTCGCCTTGTATGAAGATGTGCAGTGGCGTGAGATTTAATAATACCTCCATTGCTGCAGTCGGCGTAGTGCGCATAGCCCCAGTAGCACTTAGACAGGCAAGCCGCTGAATGCTAGTGAGTTGGCCTATTGCACTTGCTTGCGCACTGCACTATAGGTTATCATGGGTCTTGTGCATAACCATATGGTCATTTTGGGGTTCGAGGGATTTTATGTACCCTTCCCAATTCGTCTCTCTCGGATTTCTAAACCTGTCTGCTGTACGAGTTGGATATTGTATATGGAATCGGATATGTCTGTGATCTAAACACGATGGTTCATCGGACACATGCGTCCCTGATTTGGTCATTTGTGCCTCTCGAACACATGGTCATGTCTAGAACTTCTTTTCGGTTGGCAGTGACAAAAGTTGACTCACCTCTTAGATTGATGTTGGTGCTTCACCTGATCGTATGGTGTACATACGCATCACATCCTATTATAATGTTTTCTGCTCCTCGCAATGGGCAATGATTCTGCCTAGTATTGCTGGTGGGCATATTCTCTTCTCTCTCGGGAAGTAGGTGGAGCATACAACTTAGCTCTTCTCTCCCTCTTCCGTTGGGATTGATAGCATAGCTGTAACAAAATCCGACTCGGGGCTTTGTGGCCTTTTGTGAAGGCTTCCGCCACTTTTGGTAGAGGGGTCTTTGGCGGACTTCTTGACTTCTTTGCCCTTGGCGACGTTCGTCCTTTGGGCGGTCGGCTTTCTGGCTTTTGGTGTTTTTTGGCCCATTTTGGCCCTAACCTTTTGCACCACCGGCTTTGTTTTGGAGCCTTTTTGGACCGGTTTTGCCCTGTTACTCTCCTTTTTTTCATGTTCCATTTCTTTGAGATGGAACTTTATACGTCCCATCCCAAAGTATGGTGACATGTCCAGCTTCTGGAGTTCGGTATATGACCCTTCGTCCACGATGATGACCCTTCGTCCACGATGATGGCACAAGTTTGGCCTTTCTCCATTGGAGTTAGGGTCAGAACCTTCCTAATTTTAAGGGTGTTGTTGCTGACCCTCAGTATGTCAAGGACTCTTTGGGCATCTAGCCTCTTCCCACCTTCGTCTGCTATGTACTTTGTATCCTTGGTTTTGGGATGTCTATGTCCTGCCGAGCCTCGAGGGTTGCAGCCTCTCAGGGCCTAAGCGTGGGCACCACATCCTTCAACCATTGTGCACTAAGGCTGTCTGCACAACGTACTACTATGTATCCCGGCCTGTGTGTGCATTTGGCAAAACGCACCTGTGGTTCCCCATGTGGATACCTTCGTAGGTACTTATGATCGATTCTTGGAAAGCTGTTTCTGCTCCTGGAAAGCCGGTTCTCACCACTGCGATCTTTGTAGTGGTAAGGGCCTCTTTGAAAGTTACCCCTTCCATTTTGGCCTTCTTTTCCACTTTACGATCTGCAGAGGGAGTATTTCCTTCCGATCTTGGCTTTTTGTGGTCTTTTTATCGACCTGACTGGCCTCGGTAGTCAAAGTTTGAGGTGGCTTAACTTGGGATCTGACAAAGTTTTCCTTGATTATGCCTCGTTTGGCAGCAATAAAATCTTGGCTAGCTTTTACCAAGTTGTTTAGCCTTACTTTCCTTCGACCAGATATGACAGAGAATTTGACTTCTGTGTCTGACAATAGGTCAATCTCCTCTTCGGAGGTGACCCTTCTGGATTTGGGCCTTTAAGATGTTGTTGGCACATTTGCCTAGTCAACTTCCGTGGCCTGTTTCGCTATCTCTGGCACTTCTGCCTGAGATTGCTCTTGTTTGACTACTACTGGTGGCACATTTGCCTGTTCAGCAGTAGAAGTTAATGAGTTAGTTGTGTTTTCTAGGTCCATATTGTTCCCACGAGTCGCTGGAGAAAGATACGTCAACCCGTCCAGAGTCCCGCCTGGCAAGCCTACTTACTCGGGAGGGCGGCCGGTATCCCGAGGTACCGTTTGACACAGCTGTTTCGATGCAAGCACAGCTGCTATTCATCCCTCGGCACGGTTTACTGACACCTTACATTAAACCTGGCGTTCGTTCGTCCTTCTTGGTTAGTTTTCAATGGCTTCTACTTCCAAAGGCATGGTATATGCCTGTCTCTTTGGCCATAGGGTCATATCCTTAAATTGTAAGCCCCTCCGCTACGGCAAAGCGAGGACCCGTAAAGTTACGACAGGATAGATTATCCCGCCTCAGCCTCCGGCGGAGGTGAGTTGGTTCGCAGCAGCAGGTTTCGCAAAGGATTTTGGGGGTTTTATATCCCATCACCCTACTTATATCTGCCACTGGCTAGAAATTCTCCTATCTATCACCCGGAGACGCACCCGGTAGGCTCTCATCCCTCGGGATAGGTTAATGAGAACAGGATATACATTTTTATTTAGAAAATACTGTTTATAAAACATATTATTTGAATTTACCGGATTTATAACAAGAAATTCGGACAAAATTACTGAGAAACAAGTATTGCATACAAATATTAAATTATATTCTGTAAACAGTCTAAACAAAATAATAAATTAAAATAATTATTTTCCATTGTGCTCTAAAATTTAGAATGATTAAATAAAGAATCATTAACATCAATAACACATAAAACTTTATTTTGCTTTCGAAAAGCGTTCCAACTAATATCCGATACCAAAACCATTCAGTGATGCGCTTGTGCAGTACATAGTTCATGAACCGATTATTGGTATGATACAAGAACGGTACCAAACACCAAGTTGGAACAAACCTTATGACAATGAGGCCTTGTCAATGTTGAATTAATTTCCTTTTATTATCTAATACTTTCAGCAAAGATGGAGTTGATTTAAATAAGTTTTTGTAACGTAAGGTCATTCATACTTTTTTAATTGGCCCTAGGAGTTTATATACTCGTATATTGTTAAAATATTAATTGTATAATGACGATTTTGTTAAACACTTATTGTAATGGACGCATAAATCCAGTGGCGTAGCCACGGGGGTATTTTGGGGGTCAGAACTCCCCAAATGGAGAGTCCTCGCATCACCATTTCCACTTTAGTATTAGCGCTGATCGCCATTGACTGTTTGGTTTTATTCACTTTCTTGACGGAACTCCTCCCCCCCATAGTTCTCAAAAAACCCATCCCATGAAATATGGCTGGCTACGCCACTGATTAAATCGAATATAATAAATAATATTCTCTCGGAAATTAAACGAAACCTCGATAAATTAATTAAATACGAATCTAATCATACACAGTTCCCATTTAGCATAATTTTTTATAAACCAAATAAATCTTCTCTTCTATCATTTTTTTCAGAAACTTCACAACCATGTTTCAACATTAAACATTTCTGGCTGCAACATGCACCCAGCCCAGCGTTGTGCTTGAAAGAGTTCAACTACTCTTCGGCAATCTGTCCGTTTCAGACAAAATAAATTAATTCATTCTGAGCAATTAGACTTCAATCAATTCGGTTGGCTGGCGATAAAACCGTCCAGGCCACTTGCACGACTTGATAAATTGAAGCAAGTTGTTGCTTTCTGGAGTGCTCAAGATCAATAAACAAAAAATAAAACGGACATGCTGGTTTTGTCTCTGTAATTTACAATGTCAATTGGGTCCATTTGTATAAATAATGGCACCTTTTGGTGAATGTAGTTAAATTAAATAAATTAGTAATGAACGATGAAAAAAGTAATTTTTTCCGAAAAATTAAGTTGACGATCTTTTAAATAGCAAATGTTTATCATAAAAAAGATGAATATATTCTGACAACAATTAATGAAAATAATTTCATTTATTATTATAATTATTATTATTATTATTATTATTGTGCAATTCATTGAAAATAACTGACATTATAGTTTAGTTGAAAATGAATAAGAGTACAATATTTATGACCCAGGAGAGAAACCCCAATATATCATCATAAATCAGTGACGCAGAATTTCTAAAATAAAATGTTTAGCATTATTTGTTCAGAAATAAAATCGTTGGTTTTATTCCTAAAATTTAAAAAAAAACAATTTAATTTATTTCTCGTTTTAAATTTTCTAGTCATTTTAATTAAAAAAAAGAAGGTAAATATGTAATCTCTACAGGTAGGAAATATTTACAATTCAAGATCAATTAAAGTAACCCTCAATTTTCTTAGAAAGGATTAAAATTTCTAATCGGCAGAAAGTGTTATGCAGATTGTAATTTATTTTAGTTAAGATTTACATTTCTGTTTGAATAGTCCTGTGATTGTAACACGCAGAATTGTTAGTTCGATAATAATAGGCGATAAAAAGCGATATTGCTAGAGAGCAATAGAAATGGCACTGTAACCGCCCACCCCCCCGGTCGCTTCTTAATTATTAAAAGCCCGTATTTTTTGATCATCTCCCTCCCCTTTTGTGATTCAAAGTAATTCATACTTACTGTACTTGGCCTTTTCCCTCTAGTAGTAGTGATCGTCTAGTTAATTAATTGATAATTTATATACCCACGTTGTGATAATTTTAATTAGGATAAACCAGGATTCGATGCAAAGTACACATTTCTGAATGAAATAAAACTCAAATTATATTTAACTTATTTATTACTTAAATTGGGGAATGAGAAATTATATTTCTCACCGAGACCTCACACGTGTCCCGCCCAAATAAACAGACCACAGGCAACAGGCCACTTGCCATTAAATATATACTGTTGAAGAATTCTTGAGGATATACAGCAGACGTCCTCAGAATAGCACTCTCTAATAATTCTTTGTTTCGTGGTTTCCATTTTTATATAGGTGCGCTTACTGAGATAGAGTCGGTGCAATAACAGATGGATATCCCTTATGTTTCAGTCTCACCTAGGGGGTTTTATATAGTGTAGTCCTACTAGAATAGAGCCGGATCAATACCAACGAACTACCCCTTATGTTCAGATCTACCTACGGTGCGAAGATTGAGAAATAAATATTTAAGATAGTCCAACCCCGTAGTGATCCCGTTAATTTAGTTAATTTAGTAGCTATTTACGAAGATGCATTGACATTTCGGTGGCCTAGATTTTTGTAATCTTTTAGTGGTATATTAATTTAAAGGCAATGCAAACACATCTGGACGTGCTAAATGTGACGTCGTCGAACAATAAATCCCTCAATAATACAAAATTTTACCATTATTGAATAATAATGAGTGACACAATAATACTCATTATTTTTTATACGCTGCCATTTTCGAGGCATTGTTTACCGCGTTCCAACTCAACATCAAGGCATCCAAGAAAGCACATTTGCGTGGTTTCGACTGCAACGAGGTAAACAATGCACATGAAAATAGATGTGGTGCCTCAATAATTTCCGAAGGAAAAACTCACTAAGGAACAAGCAGGTAAGACTCAAAAAGAACTGATGCGAGATATTTTGAAGAGCGTGGAAGGAATAAGGTCACAGTTTAAGGAGGGATACTTCCATAATGGAGCTTTCTTCTTGATAGGTGCTAATGAAACCGCTAAGACCTGGCTATCTGAAACAATCCCTCATCTCCAACCATGGCAGGGAGCAGAGCTTAAGGTGGAACCTTCAAGCGATATCGTCCGAACCAACAAAGTTCTGGCTTGGATCTCTAAACCTATGCAGAACATGGAAACAACAAAAGTACTTACGTTCCTGTGGCATGTTATCTATAGGCAAGTAGAAAACCACTGTCAAATCATTGTTCTATTGAGAGAAGACGACTCTCTGAAGACTTTAGAAAACCTGCAGTTAAAACTCAGGCGATCTTCAGAGTGCAAAGGGAGAGGAAGGAAGAACCTTCAGATGCAAGCTAATTTAAGGCATTGCAAGGCCGCCTCCGCAACCCTTACACGTACCATCATCAGAAAAGACATAGAGGTAGCCCTAATACAAGAACCCCAGATCTACAAAGGGCATGTGATGGGGCTCGGACAAATCAAAGGCAAGTTAATATACAATACCAAATGTGGAAACACTACGGCATGTATATACAAACGTAATGGTCTAGACATCCTCAACTTACAAGATTTTAGAGACCTACTAGCAGTTAGGATGGAAATAAACATAGCAGGCAACAAGAGGCCGCTCATTTTAACTTCTGCATACCTTCCCTATGACTCGTCCCCGTCCTCTGCCAACACATGAGCTGAGGGATTTAGTAAATACCTGTCGGGCCAAAATCCTGCAGGCACTTATTGCTGCAGACGCAAAATGAGACCATATAATATGGGGCAGCAGTAACAACAACAAAAGAGGTGAGTCTTTACTTGAATTCATTCTAACCACTAACCTGGAAATATTGAATCGTGGAAATGAACTTACTTTTGTAACCAGTAGACGCAGCGAGGTTATTAATATTACCCTTGGTCCTCCCTTCTTTTCAAATCCCATTGGCAAGGGGTACGTGTCTAGAGAGCTTTTGCTCTCAGATCATCGGTATATTCTCATGGAAATCGACAGTGTCGATAAACAGGACATGTATTTCGAGACCCACATAAAACCGATTGGTTTGGATACGGGGTAGAGCTGAAGGCAGTGTTGAAAACCGTTAAAATAACTCCTAATACTAAACTTGATATAGATAAAGTTACAGAACAACTACGGGACGTAATAGTGACATCATATCACAATAACTGTTCGTTAAAGAACAGGAAAACGTCTAGGGAGGTGAGATAGTGGAACACCGAACTCGCCAAACGTTTTAATAAAGCTAAAAAGACGAACTTTTGGGGAGAATAGACCGAAACACTCACATAGTATAACAAAACTCTTAGAAAATCTAAGAGCGATTTATGGAAAACATTCTGCCAGGAAATACAACTGAAGAATATAGACTCCACCGCATTCTAGCAAAAGACACAATAAACCCTGTGGGTACTTTAAAAACCCAAACAAGGGAATACACTTAAACTGAAATGGAAACATTAAAACTACTTCTTAAAACTCATTTCACTGATTGCACAACAAACTCGAATGCTTCAAACCAAACCCACACGAACTGGAACTCTCAAAAAAGAGTCTCCAGCCAAGAGTGGGAAACTGCAAAACAGCTAGTTACAACAAAGGAAGTACCATAGGCAATACGCACAAATCCGTACAAATTACCGGGACCAGATAAGGTATTGCCTGTGCTTCCGCAACAGGCAATAGAAATACCTGGAAACAAAGCAGAGTGGTAATTTCTATTGAAAGGTTTGGCAAACCACTATGAAAAGAGGCCATTTTATACAAACCAACATGCCTATCAGTCAGGAAAATCTTCTGAGTCTGCTTTGCATCATCTTGTAATCAAGACAGAGGTGGGACTCTGTAGCCAAGAAATAGTCCTTTACATAGAAGGAGCTTTTGATATTGGTAGCTACTTCTCGCAAACATGGAATAGAAGACACCATCTGCTGGTGGATAGAAGACTCTGTTTAGAGAAAGACTTAACAAACCAAGTAAAATATGTGTCTAATACTAGATAGCAAATTTACTTGGAACCATCACAAAATGTGATAAACAAATGTAAAATGTCTCTCATTGCAGGGAGACGGGCATTTGGAAAAACATGGGGCTTAAAACCGAAAATGGTCCACTAGCTATATTTGGCAATAACAAGACCCATGATAATTTATGAAGCGGTTGTTTGGTAGCCAAAAAGTAAACCAAAAACATGACCTCGATACCTCTCAGGAGTTCAAAAACTGCATGCATTTGTATTGTATTACAGGAGCACTGAAAAGTACACCAACAGTATCTAGGGAAATCGTTCTAAACCTCCCATCACTTAAACCATCCATAAAGGGAGAGGCCATAGTAAGTGCATACAGATTGGACATCTACAACAAATGGATCCTCCTAGTATATATAAAACATATCAAAATAACACATGCAGTAAATGATCCTGTATTAAACTTGGGATCAGATCACATGACACCCCGCCTAACCTTCAACAGACCCTTCCAGGTCAACTGCAACTGAAACGAGATAAATAAGGAGGCAGAAAAATACTTGCTTAGCGCTCTCGTATGGTACGGTTGGAACAGGCTGCTGGCGTACATGGAGCTAAACCCAAATGAGACATTATCGTCTCACTGGAAGAACATAGCATTGTATTTCAGGCTGAAATACCTGCAATCGAATTGTGCGTACGAGATAATTTAAGAAGGAAGTATAAAAAACAAACCATCTTAATTCTCTTAGATATGAATCAGCCCTAAAGGCTCTAAATTCAAACAGAATCAACTCACAGCTTGTCTGAAAGTGCCCTGCAATACTAAATAATCTGGAAGTCCACAATAAGGTAAAACTAGCGAGGATACTGAGGATCAAAACTTCCATTTAGAGGACCCAAACCTGTAATTTGGGATTAGCAGTGAACAGGTGGACAACCACAAAATACCAAATTCACTGGCAACAGATAAAAGGGCACTGAATCAGTTAGCTCTTGCTAAGGGGACCGAACCCACGCATGGCTACTGAGGCACTACAACTCGCAAGACCTCATAAATCCACCATTGTGGGATAACTAACGGGGCACTGCTTGCTGAAACATCTTCATGATGGGATAGAATTACACAATGATCCTACTACGTGTATACTCTGCATGGAAGAGAAAGAAACCTTATACCTTGTGATATTCGAATGCGAAGCTCTTACTAGGCGGCATCTCATCCTTTTCGGCCTAGAACCGGAAAAAACGTTCCAGGAACACTTGAAA